TCACTTGTGGCCATGTTGTCATTACTGTTCAGTTGTGTCCAACTCTTCGTGACCCCATTTGGGTTTGTTTGTTTATTTTTTTGGCAAGATGATGTAGCGGTTTGCCATTTCCTTCTACAGATCATTTTACAAATGAGAGAATGAGGCAAACAGAGTTAAGGGACTTGCCCAGGATCACAAAGCTAGTAAGTGTTGGAGGCCAGTTTTGAACTCAGAAAGATGTGTCTTCCTAACTCCAAGCCTGGCACTCTATCCACTCTATCACCTAGCTGTCCCTTGTGGTCATATCAAATGATAACATTTAGCCAGGGGAAAGTATGATTTTTAGCTCTAGCATCAACCAAGAAGAAAGATACCTAGTGGGATGTTGTAGAAGTGATTCTTAAGTCAGTCACAGTTCAGTTCAATTCCACATAACAAATATTTAAGTGACTGCTATGTATTTAGAACTGTGCTAGTTGCTGTGAACTCAAAACAAAGATAATCCCTATTCTCAAGGAGTTTATAATCTATTAAAGGGAAACAGCAGGAACACATTTAAATAAATATAAAGCATATACAAAGTAGCCATGACTAGTTTTAGTTTCTGGTCAGGGTCCTAGAATAACTACAATCAGAAAGACATCTCAAGAAATAGTAAGAAATATATCCAGAAAGACTTGCATGGACTGATGCTGAGTGAAATGAGCAGAACCAGAACATTATACACAGTAACAGCCATGTTTGTGCAATGACTAACTCTGATAAACTTAGCTCTTCTCAGCAATACAAGGATCTAAGACATCTCCAAAAATCTCATGATGAAAAATCTATCCACACCCAGAGAAAGAACTATGGAGTTTGAATGCAGATCAAAGCATACTATTTGCTCTTTTTTTTCTTCTGTTTTCTTTTGTTTCTTTTTTCTTGTGGTTCCTCCTATAGGTTCCAATTCTTCTTTACAGCATGATTAAGGTGAAAATATGTTTAATAGGAATGTATACATAGAGCCTATATCATATTGCATGCAATCTTACAGAGGAAGGGAGGGAGGGACAATGTAAAACTCAAAAGCTTATGGAAGTGAATGTTGAAAACTAAAAATAAATATAAAAAACAAAGCAAATAAAATAAATGCAAATTAGAGATAAAAAAGAAATACATCCAGAGCTAAAGACTAGAAGATAGCTTTGGTGACTTTTTATATACACATACACACACACACATACGCATGCGTGCATGCATGCACAAGCACAAGCAAGCTTGCCCATGCACACATCAGCATAAATCTTTGCAATTCAGCTGAATGATTATTTCTGAAAATGCATCCCCAGAGAGCAAAATTTAGCTTCTGGTCATGCTTCTTTCCTGCAGCATTATAGACGGATATCTTCCCCATAGCTCTGACTACAGACTCCACTGCCAGCTGTCCTTTTCTGCCCTAAGCCAATGATCTCAAGCCTGTGGGGATTCCTGGCCTACAGGGCAGGGACCACATTGTTGTATTCCCTACAATACTAGGCATAGTACTAATATAATAGCAGTAGGTATTTAATAATGAACTGTAGATTGGAAGTATTCCTGAAGCATTGGAAGAAATAAATAATAACTGTGTTGTGCTATTAGTAGCAAGGTAAGCTCAAGGGAAAACACTGAGCACCGTGGATTGCTCTACCCTAATGCTGTACCAGTCATCAGGATGTGGAGACTATGTGCCAATGAAAGGGACTTTTGGCATCCCACAGGAAGAACCAATGATGAAAGGGCGCCAAGATTTGTGCACCAGAGGAAAGGATTAGACTGCATAGCAACTAGCAGCCCGTGGGAGCATAAATTGGATAAAAAAGCTCTCGAATAGGGTGATAGGCTGAGGAAAATCTCCTAATTGGAGGTCATTAGTCCCAACAGTGTAAGTTATTCCAAAAGGGAGGACAGTTTGTGCAGGGGATGTGGGCAAAGCAGGTAGAAGTTCAACAGTATCTGCTGTATCTATGTTAATTACAGAAAAATCTCTTTTAATGAAATAAAGGTTTCTGATCTAGGCACTTTTGATTTAAGCAACTTGGTACAGTGGAAAGAGAACAAGTTCTGGAGTCAAAGGAACTGAGTTAAAATTATGCTTCTGTTACTGGGTGACCTTGGCCTCAGCTTCCTCATCTGTAAAATGAGGTAGGTAGTTGAACCAGATGGCCTTTGAGGCCCCTTCCAGCTCATCCATGAATCTACTATGACTTCCTTGCCCTCAAAATGCAAGATTTTTACTTGGCAATTCCTTTAATGGGCTGATTCCTTTGAAATATCTGTATTTCAGTAGTGTTGAAAGAATTTCCTTGAAGAGTAGTGTCAATTTATATTCACAGTTTTGAAGTTTTAAATGACGCCTAAACTATAGCTGTGTGTTGTTGTGGAGTTACTTGCATTTAAACAACCTTCAAAACTCGCCCACAATGAACATTCTCTTTAATGCATGCTTATAAAGTGCTGTTAAATGACTACCTGTAGACACATGACTTGAAATGTGGGTGTGTGAATATGCCCCAAAGAATCTTAACTTTCTGCTGATTTGTGTGTTTTTACCTTTATGTTCCTATCATTGCATGACTGAAAACATTTGTATTTGAACACTCTGTTATTACTCATATACCTTTCATTCATTCTTTCATCGAATATGTATTAAGTATCTACTGTGCCTAGGATACTGCGCCAGGCATGAGGAGACAGAAAGAAATAAGGTATGATCCCTTCCCTTAAGGAACTCACAGAGAGACATGAGTATGGTTTCATTTGTCAACAACTGTGATTTGATGGGTGTTGGCACTTCTTCCACTCAGATTCTGAACTTGGAACAATGCTAGTGCCATCAAAACAGACGTAGGGAAGTTTGAAGCATGAATAGAGTATGCAACCTTGTGAGTAGTGAGCAGAATGCTGATAAATATTTGATGGGGGGAGGGGAAAGGTTGCAAACTGAATTTAATGGGTAATTATGCAAAGTTGTATAACCTGTCAATTTCAATGATCACTGCTATCCTTGCATCCCCTTGCTTTATGGTTTCAAAATGTATCTTATGTCCTTAGTCTGGATGGTTCTACCAAAAAACAAGACCCCTCTGTGTCCAAGTAAATATTTTTAGCAGTTGTTATAGAACCCAAATTCATTATTTGGAGGCCGGCCTTCTAGTGATGAATATCTTTGAATTTATCTAGGTTCATCCTTGGACAAAAGACTTGGACAAATGGCATAGTGGATAGAGTGCTAGACTTGGAGTCAAGAAAGACATGAGTTTGAATCTCACCTCAGACACTTGCTGGCTATGTGTTCATGGTTACATCACTTTACCCTTCTTAGCCTACATTTCCTCATCTATAAAACGGGAATAATAATAGTACCTACCTCCCAGGCTATTATGAGACTCAACTGAGATAACATGTTTAAAGTGATCTGTGAACCTTAAGCCACTAAATAAATGCCATCTATTATTATAAAATAATACTCAAAGCCTTTCCGGTTTGGTGGGACCTCATGTCACCTTGGCAGAAACTTGGAGCCATAGGGTCACCTCTGTAATATAGTGTTGCCCATTACTAAGCATAAGTTGTTAATAGAAAACATTTTCTTCAGTTTATAAACTTCAAGAAAGTAGAGGCAGATGGTAGTAGAGTGCTAAAGAAATCAAATACAGGACTAAGAAAAAGGGAGAGAAATAAGACCATTCGAGAGGAATTCCCTGGAACAAAGGTTGATGTTGGGTGTCCTGAAGAGCAGTGAAAGTGTGAAGTCATGGGAAGTTTTGTTTTATTTGTGTTGAGCCTGATATAGCCCCTCCCCCAAATTTTAGAAGGGTTTTCAGTAATGGATGGGCATTTGGTAACTCTAAACCCAAGTTGAAACCAGTGGTAGAATCCTGAAGACTTTTTAGGAATTAAGACTCCACTTTGTGGGAACTCCATAAATAATATGCTATAACAACGCAAAGTAAAATTTCTGACCTATAAGCCATTCTTTTATTGCCAGTATATGCACAGTAGGGCACATCATTGCCCTAAGCTGAATAAATCTATCACATTCCATGTCTCCTATGGATAAAGTTGTAGCCAAAAGCATTTTCATAACCAAGTTTTTAGCAAAGGAATAAAGAATTCCAAGAAGCATGAGAAGACTTATCTGAACAGAGTAAAGTAAGTAGAACCTGGAAAACTGAATGTACAAGTACAACAATGTAAATAAAAAGAACAACAAAATAAATCAGAATAGACTGGCTTGATTCAATAGAAAAGCTGAGAAAATGTTCCTCTCTTCTTTTCAGAGGTTTTGTAGACTATGAATGTGGAATACTGCTTATAATGTCTGGCAACATTAACATAGATTGTTTGTCCTCAACTCTTTTTTTCTTTCTTCTGGAAATGTTTGTTATAAGGATAGCTTTCTGAGGAGTAAAGGATATATTTGAAAATAAAGATGGCAGAAAAGGTGGGAATAAAAATGAGATTTTCAAAGAGAAATTTTAGGGCATATACTGGACATATTAATCAATTTTGGGGAACTATCAGTGGATATAGGTAGACTAGTTAACAGAAGCAGGCTATAAGAAGAATCTAAGAATTCAGGCAGGGACTATAGGAACTGCTATAGATTCAGAGTAAGAGCAATCAGTGAGATCTCTACTGGAAGAAGGGTCCTAACCATTGCAGTTACTCCAAACTAACCGAGACTCTTGGGCATCCCAGACCCGCTTTTTCCACACCTATAAACACACACAATAAGCCCAAAGGGGCATCCCATGTGCCCTGGATCGCATGCACAGAGGCCCAGTCTTCCTCATTCTGCTTCTAATAATCCCTCAAAATTTCCTCAAGGAGGTCTAAAACTGCCTCTGGCTTCCCTGGAATTCCCTTTATTCAAAAGTGGCACAAGATTCTGAGAGAATTCTCTAATGTGGCTACAAGTTTCTTAGGCCTACCCTGGTTCTTATTGTCTATGGGAGTTCTGGAGTCTCTAAAGCCTTCTGGAACATAGTGGACAGGTGTTGGACCACTGCCCAGCAATTCCAGGAAGTAATATCCGTTAGAAGAATGTGGTAAGCCCTTGGAAGGTAATTCACTGTGTTTCTTTAGGGACTAGACTCTTTTACCTTACAAAGAGCCTTACCTCTCTTCTAAATAGCTACTCTAAGTGGTCTAATAGGAAAGGTGGAGCTCCTCATAATGGCTGGTCTTGAGTACTTCAAATCTATGCTTTGTGAGTATTGTTTGATAATAACAGAGGTTGGTGTATTGTCTGTGTATTTAATTATGTAGACAATAAGCTGTGGTTTGAACAAAACAATAGCATCTCTAATTTAATGGTGTGTTCTGTTCAATGTCTTATCCTAAGAGCGTGATGGAAGATAGAATTTTTGCCACCCACAGAAAGTGCTGTTTCTGGCTGGGCTCACGTGTACCTACTTGGCTTACCTTGCTCCCTGGTTTCTTAGATGTATTTGAACTTGACATCATTTCAAATGTGCCCCCAAACAGCTGCCACAGCCTGGCAAATGAGTCCATTATAGACAGTGTCCTCTCATTATTTTCCACTCTGACATCACTGATGAAAACAGAAGGGAGTGGATGAGAATGCCCAACCAGTATGGGAATCTTTTAAAAGGATATACCAGAGACAGTGAATTTTTCCCCCCCAAATTGAAATCTGCTAACCAAGAGAAAAGCTACATATGATAGTACACAGAGAGATACGTTGCCTGTGGATTATTGGATATATTTAGTTTTTTTTAACATGTCCTTAATAGTCATACCTATTACAACATATTAATCCCTCCTGTTTGTGACTCTTTAGATAACCAGATCCAAATATGGTTGTTATTTGTATATGGCTCTGAATTGATGCTTTTGATGGGTTGGTGGTACCCAGTTTAAGAGGGAGGAGAACCCAAAGATTCCTCATCACTGAAATATAAAAATGATTTCACAACTAATCTGAGTTCGCAGAATAAATGATTTTTATCTTCAATTCAACAAGTTTTTTTTTAATTAAATGCCTACTGTGTGCCAAGTGCTTGGAGTATAAAGACAAAAATGAAAGTAGTTCCTGCCCTCTGAGAGTTTATAGCTACACTGGAAGAAGACGATGTAAACATTGATAAGCAATTACTGAATATGTACAAAGTAATATGCACGTGGCTGTCTAGTAGCTTTAACATTCAACGTTATTCTTTAGCACGTTAACAGATCAGGGATTTCGTAGAGGTGGGCACTCCCTCTACTGGTCTGGGTAAGTCACTTAATCTCTCTGCGTCTTGATTTTTCTCACCTATAAAATCAGAGGGCTAAACTTAATGACTCCTAAGGCCTCTTCCAAAGGCTGTGCTCTATGATTTCTAACGGTATAGGGCAGGGATATGCTGGCAAATATTTAACAACAAGCCCTGTAAATGCATGACACATTTTTCAGTTTAACCTGCATTAACATTTTCTCCATCACTTTCTTAAGTCTAGTCAATCAAGAAAACAATAAATCAAGCCCTGATTTCTAGCACTTGCTGATTGCCGAGGTGCAAATGAAAATTTAAGTGAGGGATATCTAGACAGAAAGAAGGGGGAAAGGTCCTGAAAACAATGTGGGACAAAAGGAAAAATCTTTCCTGAGCAGCAAAAATGTGCCCAAGAAAAATGGCAGTGGGAACCCAACTGGGGGACCTTCTGTTTAGGAGCTGCCCCACATGGTGCTATAAAAAAGGTACATTTTGGAAGGCTTTTCCAAATCATGGCTAGAGGAGAAAAAAAAAGAGAGTCTAAAAGCAGCCATCTTTTTGGTTATGATTTTCATCTTCTAAAAGAAGAGATGGATTGTGCTTGGCAAAAATCTCTGGCTCCTCTAGTAATATGGCAGTGGTTATTACCCTGTTGAGATCCTCCGAAGGAAATGTGGTAACTTTATCTAGAATATAGATCACCAACACTACACTTAGGCATCTTAAAATCAATGCCTTATGGATATTTTATCAAAAATTCATAAATAATTTTTAAAGAAATAAAATACCAAAAAAAACTAACTACAATATTTTAAGATTATAAAATGTGGCTTCCACTCTGGCTCCTCATAATCAACAAAATATTAAAATTAAGAAAATTTTGTAGACATACTAAACAGATAGCAGCCTAGAAAATGTTTCTAAATGAACAAAATATTTTAGAATTGGAAGGGACCTCCGTGTCCATCTTAGTATTGGTCTAGTGCCTTTACTTGAAAAAGAATCTCTTCTATGCCATATTAAACAAGGACTCATTAATCATTTGGGCTAATTTTCTCCTGCTGCCGCCCATAGCCTTTAAAGCATGTGACTTCAAAGTCCCCAAGTTAGGGCTGAATCAAGGTCACTCAAAGGAAATAAGATAGGTTATAAACAAAGTTGGGGGGGAGGATGGGGAAGAAAACCAGAATTATAGGCATTCCTGGTTGCCTAGCCATTAGGCAGTAGACAGGAAATAGAAATATAGATCAAGGTTAACAAGTAGCCATCTGTGGATACCCCAAAATCTGTGAAGCCAAAAGCTTGCATTTCAGACTAATGGAGCTGTTCATTTGGAAGCTTCTGGCCTGAGGAATGATTTTATCTCCCTGCCAACCACACCTCATTGTACCCCTGGCTGAAGTTTCTGTACCATACAACTCTTGGGCTTAAGCTTTGAAGGGTGGACATACTTTCTCCATTTCTGATATGAAAAGTGGAAGGTACCCTGGGAATTGCTGCATAATCTATAGCACCCCCTCATTCCCCAGAATCCTCCCTTATAACAAAGAAAAATTCAAGCAAAACCCAAAGTAAAAAGCACCTGATATTACATGCATCATTCAGTACTAATAGATCCACTACCAAGAACAGAAGGGAAATATATTTTCTTCTCTCTTCTTGAGAGTCAATGTCGATCATTTCAATTAACCTGAATTGTTTGTATTTTTATAGCATGTGTCACTATAATTGTGGTACATATGGAGGCAGCTAGGTGGTGCAGCAGATAGAGTGCTGGGCCTAGAGTCAGGAAGACCCAAGTTCAAATTCTGCCTCAGCCACTCAGTCACCTATGTGACCCTGGGCAAATCACTAAATCTCTGTCTGCCTCAATTTCCTCAGGGTAAAATGTTCTGAGACTCAAATGAGATATTTGTAATGCATTTAGCACAGTGCCTGACATATAGTGGGTGCTTAATAAATGCTTGTTTCCTCCCTTCTTATATTGTTTTCTTGGTTTTATTCTCCTTGCTCTATATCAGTTCTTGGAAGTCTTCCCTTGTTTCTCTAAATTCCTCATATGCAAAACAGCATTTCACTACATTCCACAACATCACAATTGGTTCAGCCATTTACCCAGTTGGCAGGTACTCAGCTTATTTCCAGCTTTCTTTCTTCCTTTCTTTCTTTCTTTCTTTCTTTCTTTCTTTCTTTCTTTCTTTCTTTCTTTCTTTCTTTCTTTCTTTCTTTCTTTCTCTCTTTCTCTCTCTCTCTCTCTCTTCTCTCTCTCTCTTTTCTTTCTTTCTTTCTTTCCTTTCTCTCTCTCTCTCTTTCTTTCTCTCTTTCTTCCTTCACTGTTTCCTTCCTTCCTTCCTTCCTTTCTTTCTTTGCTATTGTAAAGAATTTTGCTATTTATTACATAACCCTATGACATTAGGTAATCAATCTATAAGCCTCATTTTCCTTATATGTAAAATATGGTTGATAATACTTGGCTGCTATCAAATAAGGTAAAATATGTGTGCATATATATATATGATGTATTTTCTTAAAGTTTCATCAATGACTTTTACTTTTATATTACCATAATTTCCTGAAATACCCCCCTCTTCCCACTCTCAACACCTTTCTCCTTAATTCTCCCCTTCCCTTTTAACAACAACGACAAGGAGCCATTAAATAATACCAATAAACACAGCAACATTCCACATGCATAGCTCTGCTTCCCACCCCCATATACACACAATGAAAAGAGGGAGGTGTATTTCCTCATCTCTTCTCTGGAGCTAAGATTGATCATTATAATTACACAGTATTTGGCTTTGGTTTATTATGCTTTTTTGTTTTCATAATATACTTTGTAGACTCTAAAGTGCCATATAAATGTCTAATATGACCACTTTCTTGCAGTAAAACACTATTTAAAAGACTACTTTGCTGGACATGATAATTCTATAGGACCCAGGGAGACAATAGAGTTGATTCCTAGCTTTTCTGTAGTGTATTGGCAAGTGAAAAGTAATGCCTTGAATCCAATGGGGAAAGGAGGGAGTTGTCTTTCATACAATTACAAACTGGCATGGGGTCATAGATTTAGAGCCAAGAGGGATCTTAGAGGTAATCTAGTCCAACCTTTCATATTCATATGGGAAAACTGACACATAGAAAAGTTAAATCATTTACCCAAAGTCATAAATGGAATGGTGAGACAGGATTCAAGCCCAAATCAATGACTCTTTCCATTGTATTACATTGTCTCTCTACAAACACATACATACATAATGCTTGCGGGTCTTCCATTTTGGAACTTTTTGTGAGCTGTTTGAGCTCCCCATCTTATCTTCCCTCCCCACTCCCGCTTAAGAGTTCTGAGTAGAGAAAGGACTTAGTTGAGAGAGAATTGTTACTTGGTGACAAGAGAAAAGAATGGTAAACCGCTCCCTTCCACTCATTATGCTTCATGTGCAACCAGTCAAGTTTTTGATGCCCACCTTTCTGTCATGCTGGTCGGGGGTCAGATTGTCAAATAACTCATTTGTTATTTGGACACTGGCGGACAGATTAACAAAACATTTATTTCTATGGCCCTCCTGGAGGATTTGGTACTACTAAAGTCTAGTTCTATACGACTGACATTCTTTACAATGGCATTAGGCATCCTAACAGGATTATACCTGCAGTGTTAAACAAAGGTCAGCTACAGTGAGGGAGTGTGTCTCAGACCCCAATTGTCTGGGATATGTCATACTGGTCAATAGAATGCTGGACTTGAAGTCAAGAAGACCTGCCTTTGAATTCATCTCAGATATTCATTAGCTATATCATCCTGAGGGGGCTGGACTCAATCACTTGTAAGGATCCTCCTGGCTTGAAATCTATGATCCTATGGCATTAGAACTGTATTTCACCACCTTTCAAATGATAATAATGCAACTACATCTTTTTTCCAAATACTCTACCTTGGTGATAGTTGACTAGTTGTGTGACACCAAGTAAATCATTTTACTTTCCCAAGATTTTTCCTGGGTATAATAACCTCCCTCCTAAGGTTCATAAGAGAAAAATGCTTTGTAGGATGCTATAGAAATGGGAACGATTTTCTCCTGGCACATCCAAGTGCAATGTTCCTAAGCTCCCTCTGACACCTTCTCTCACATATTCGTAGCACTATATGCTTTTAGATCTGGAAGAAACCTTTAACATCACATAGACCAGAGAATTAACCTTTTTTTGTGTCATGGACCCCTTGGTGAAACCTTTAGACCCCTTCTGAGAATATTAGTTTTAAATGCATAAAATAAATATACATGGGATTGCAAAGAGAACCTAAAGTTAGTGAAAATAAAAATATAATTTCTTGCCATTCAAGTTTACAGACTGCGTAAAGTCAGTTAATGACTCTGCAGACTCCAGACGAAGAACCTCTGATTTAGCTCAGCTCCCTCATTCATGAACAATGCATTCTCTCTTCCCCAAAAGAGATACACTTGAAGGGATAAAAATAGAGTTTTGAAAAATTTGAAGTAATTTATTTTAAATTGCCTTAGAAACTGAAGAAAACAATAAGAAATTTTAGGGCTTACAATGGTTAACTGCATTGCAGAGAGGTGAAATATAGAACTGTACTTAAAACTCCAAACGTGGCACACACAACACATGGCTGACCACTGATGTGTCCTTGCTTCCTGCCAAAAGCAACTGAGGGGATGACTTCTGCAACCCTGTATTGTTGCAAGGAGACCAGATTTGGAATCAGAGCACCTGAGCTCAAAGGTATTTGCCCCTCTCTGGATTCACTTTCTTTATCTGCAAAATGTAGGGCTTAGAAACTTGGACTCTATTACTCACTATTCAGTCATTTTCAGTTGCCAACTCTTAATGACCTCATTTTGCAAAGACTCTAGAGCGGTTTGCCATTGCCTTCTCCAAGTCATTTTACAGATGAGGAAACTGAGGCAATCAGAATTAAGTCACTTGCCCAAGGTCACACTGCTAGTAAGTGTCTGAGGCTGGATTTGAACTCAGGAAGATGAGTCTTCCTGGTTCCAAATCTGTGCTCTATCTACTGAACCATTTCCAAACTTAGGTCTGTGATCTTAGGAACAAAGTCAATAGAAAAGAGGCAAGGCAGGCTGTTAGAAGTTGGTGGGGCATCCTTTCCTCCGGATTTAAGCCTCAAGGTTGAATCATACAAAAAAGGGCACATCAGTAACTCTTGATAAGGTTTCTGCACAGCAGTTGCTGCTTTGTTGGGGTGCATATGGGGAAGAGGATAGAGGGCAGCTATAGAAGGACATTACTATCCTCTGAGGTCAGAAAAGCATAGTGCCCAAAGCTGCCAAGCTCAGACAGTCCTGCAGACACCGGTTCCTGCTTTTCTGCATCTTCCTTCTAATATGATGCTGTACTGGAATGTGTACTGGGTTTGGAGTCAGAGAACCTGGGTTCTAATCCAAGATCTTCCATTTGCTAGCTGTGGGACCTGGGGCACATCACCCAACCTCTTTGGCTCTCTGTTTCCTTATCCACTCTTTAAAGGAGGAGGTTGGACTAGAAGCCTTGTAAGGTACCTCCCAGCTCTCACTCTAGGATTGCATGAGCCCTATGACCTACAACTTCATACCTGGGTCTGTATTCAGTTTAAACCTTCCTCACGTTGTTTGTTGACTTATGATCAGATTCTTTGCTGGCACAAGGGACTAGTTTCTTTTTTGCCTAAGGACATGAGTTAAGTTCTGGCAGTTCTCTGATCTAACACAGTGCCTGCTATATACTAGATTCTTAACAAATGCTTGTTGACTTGACTTCTAGATTCACCTACTGATGAACCTCTTGTTCCTGCCCTTCCCCTTCTTCACCCTGAGGTCTACCATACCATGAAAGGCAACTGGGTTCCCTATCAGGAAGACCTCATTTCAGAAAAAGGCTAAAGGGGATAAAATAACCTGCTGGTATATGGCTTCTGAGTGTGTCCTCACTCAGAGAAAATGGCAAGCTATAATAATCACAATTATAATAGCTCCCATTTCTATAGCATTTTATAGTTTGCAAAACATTTTCATGACGACACTACGTAATGTTAGTATTATCCCATACAGAATGCAAGCTGCCTGAAGGCAGGGACTGTATCATTTGTGCCTTTGTATAACCGGCATGTAGTACAGTGCCTAGGACGTTGTAGGTGATTAATGAATGTTTGTTGGTTATTAGTCTCACTTTACAGGTGAAGAAACCATGGTCAGAGGAGGGTTAAGGGATTTACTCACATTCCAGCACATGGTTGGCCAAGATCTGAGCTGAGACTTGAACCAAGACCTTCTGACTCAAAGTCTTCTTCTCTTTTATGATGCCCAGTTTGTAACTTCACGGAACCATACATCTTTATATGGTAAGGTGGAAAAAATACTGACACCAAAAGTATCAATAAAGCTTTTTTAAAAAATAATGATAAATATAGAATTGGAGGGTTAGAAGAACCAAATTGAAATCCTGGATTGGCTTCCTGCTAGCTCTATAAAATCTGTCAATCAACAAGCATTTATTAAGTACCAACTCTGTGTCAGACACTTCATGACTCTGGTTCTCATCTGTAAAACGAGGGAGTTGGACTAAAATAGAGGTTCTCAATCTAGGATCAGGGTCTGTAGAAAGATTTCAGAGGGCCTGTGAACTCAAATGGGAAAAAAGTCATGTCTTTATTTTTGCTAACTTTAAGAGAAATTCAGCACTTCCTTCAATTATTTAAAAAACATTATCCTGAGAAGGGATCTGTAGGCTAATGTACCCTAATGGCAGAGTACATATCATAAAAAAAGATTAAGAGCTCCTAGATCAGATGATTTCCAAAGTCCCTTCCTGCTCTGACATCTTACGAATAGATCCAAAAACAGATCCAAATAGGTCCAAAAAACACATATGTTCTCTAAAGTTCTATGCAAGCTTGACAGGGTCGCTGATAAAACACGCACATAATGAACTTCATAAATAAAGTCTCTTTTTAGCCTGTGTTTAGGTTAGGATCAGCTCAGGAGAAATAACATGGTAGAGAGACCACAAACCAGGGAATTTGGTCAACCAGATCATACTTTCGATATGTTTGTGTTTGAGGCAGGATGAGTTTGTTCCGGGTCTCAAGAACAGTGGATCATCCAGCCCCTTAAAAGGTTAAGGGAAAGCACCTTATGACACAGAAGTGATGCACTCAGGATGCAGCAAAAGCTTGTATATACATATATATATATATGTGTGTGTGTGTGTGTGTGTGTGTGTATAAATGTACACATACATATGTATATATGCATGTATGTGTGCATATATATATATATATATATATGTATATATATATATATATATATATATATATATATATATATATATATATATATATATACACATGCACACATATTGTGTTTGTCCTTCATTCTCAGACAGGAACAATGACATCAGTAGGGTGATGTCTTGACTTGCTAGGTGTATGTATATATTATGTATATATATATATGTATATATTATGTATATATATATATGGCATATGTATATATGTATGTGTGTATGTGTGTATATATATATATATATATGCATTATATAATGTGTGTATATATATATATATATATATATATGCATTATATAATGTGTGCATATATTATGGACACGGCCAATGCTGGAATTTGTTTTGCTTGACTCTGCATATTTGCTACAGGATTTTCTTTCTGTTTTTCCCAATGGGAGGGGGTGTGAAGAGAGAATGTTAACTGAAAAAAAAATTAGTCAAAAAAAAATACAGGGCTAAGTTTGGGCAGTACTGACAGCTAATTCTGGCCAACAAAGATGCTCACCAACACAGATCACTGTCATTCTGTGATGTGTGTCAGTTTGGCTCTCTCTGGATGTTCTTCTATGTTTAACCATCTGGCTCTGACCACTGGCCCATTTTCTAGTTCTGCGGTCCTGCTTCCCCTGGCACCCTCGTCTGGGCTTGTTTCTCTGACTTGCTCTCTGCCTCCCATTATGCCAGCATGGTGGCTCTGGTCATTGCTTCATCACCTTACTTAGGCTGGTTTCCAGTATGTGACCTAAGTTATTCCCTGATACTCTGACAAATTCTGAACCACTGACTGCTGAGAGGTGAAGTCTTTGGGATCTTAGCTGTCCTGTGCAGCTAAGTCACCTATCTTGGAGGTCCTCTTTGACTTATCACATTCTGTTCCAGCATGGCCAGACCGACAACATGGCACCTGTAACTGAGAGGCAGGCTTTACGTCATTTTTGCCTCTGTCTTCCTAGTTCTCAAGGCTAGTCCTCTTCTGTGACCTCAGGAAAATGTTAATCCCCAGATATTTTCAAGCATGAGGTTTATTGATTAGTTTCTTCCTCAGGTTGGCTGAAGATACTCATTTTATGACATCTCAGCAAGCAATTCCTTGAAGGAAAGGATTGTATCAGCTTCAGAACACACTTTGAATAGCACCATGGACCTTGGTGGTCTATGAGGAGGTACAATGATGAGAATTGTCTTCTTTGTGTACCTGAAAGAGGTCAAAACTAGTTCCACTCTAACAGACTTAAGAACTCTAACTAATGTAATGACCAAGAATGATTCCAGAGGATAGATGATGAAATATGCTCTCCACTTCCTGCCAGAGAGGGGATGGACTCAAGATGCAGAAGGAAACATTCATTTTTAGTCAATATGTGAATTTGTTCTGCTTTACTGTGCATATTTCTCACAAGGGTTTTTGTCTGTTTTCTTTTAAATCTTGGGTGAGGTGGAAGAGAAAGAAAATAGATGCTAAATCAATTGAATGTTTTTTCAGAAGGTAAAAGAAAAAATAAAAATTTGGTTGGTAAAGGAATTAGAAAATCTTAATAGATTTTAGTCTGTGACAGTCATGGTATGGGGTATCTAAAATTGGATTTAAAGTCAGGGTATGTGAGTCTGAATCCAAACTCTGCAGCCTGTATCACTTCAAGCAGGCAATGTGATACAGTGGAACAAATATTGGCTCTGGATTCAAATCCTGTCTCTAGGAAACAATGGGGAAAAAAGGGAAAGTAGGGGAACTAGCAGTACCAGATTTAAATTATACTACAAAGCTGTATCAAAACAATATTGTACTGGGTAAGAAACAGAGAAATTGATCCATGGAACAGAGTAAGTACACAATATACAGAGGTAAATGAGCACAGTAACCTAGTGTCTAATAAACCGCAAAATCCCATGTTGTGGGGCAAGAACTTGCTATTTGACAAAAACTGTTGGGAAAACTGCAGGGTAGTCTGGCAGAAACTAGGTGTAGACCAAGCATATACCAAGACAAGCTCAAAATGGGTACATGAGTTACACATAAAGGATGGTGTCATCTGTAAATTAGTGGAACATAGAATAAATTATTTGTTAGATTTATGAATGGGAAAGAGTTCACGACCATCAAGAGATAGAGAAATTCGCAGAAAATAAAATGGATAATAATATAACATTAAAAAGGTTTTACACAAACAAAACCAATGTAGCTAAAATTAGAAAAAATGCAGAAAACTGAGGGGGGGAATTTTTATGCGTTCTTCTTTAATAAAGATCTTATTTCTAAAATATGTAAGGAACTGAGTCAAATTTACAAGAATAAGAGCCATTCCCCAATTGATAAATGTTCAAATGGCATGAATAGACAGTTTTCAGAGGAAGAAAGTAAACATATTAATAGCCATATAGAAAAATGCTCCAAACCATGAATCATTAGAGAAATGCACATTAAAACAACTCTGAGGTACCACCTCACAGCCATCAGATTGACTAAATTGACAAAAAGAGAGGAAAATGACAAGTTCTGGAGGGAATGTGAGAAAATAGGTACACTAATTCACTGTTGCTGGAGCTGTGAATTAGTCAAACTATTCTGAAAAGCAATCTAGAACTATGCCCAAAGAGCTATCAAACTGTACATACCCTTTCAGTCAGTGATGCTGTTTTCAAGCCTCTATCTCAAAGAGATCAAAAGAAGAAAATGATGCATATAAACAAAAACATATTTATAGCAGCTCTTTTTGTGGTGGCAAAGAATTAGAAACTAAGGAGATTCCCATCAACTGGGGAATGGCTGAACAAGTTATAATACATGTAATAGAATTCTATTTTCCTATCTGAAATGATGGGGGGAATGGTTTCAGAAAAACTTGAGAAGACTTGTACGAACAGATGTAAAGTGAAGTGAGAAGAAGTAGGGAAAAAATTTTGCAGTAGCATCACTATTATAAAGATAATTATTATATTAATATAAATTTATTATTATGTTAATTGATATTTATAATAATAATAATAATAGAAAGACTTAGTAACTCTGATCAACATAACGACCGACTATAATGGAAAGGGACTTATGATAAAACTTGATATCCACTTCCAGATAGAGAACTAATAAACTCAGAGTGCAAATTGAAGCATATTTCCTTTCTTTCTTTTTTTTGGGGGGGAACATGGCTAAGGCAGAAATATGTTTTGCCTGACTATATGGATTTGTAATGGACTTTACTTTTCTTGCTTTGTCAATGGATAGGAAAAGAGGAGGGAGAGAATTTGTAAGCAAAAATGAAATTAAACTGAAATCAGAACAAAACAAAACAACTCCTGCCTCTAATAATAACCACCAGCTCTTACCGAAAGGTTCAAATGAGATGTGCATTAAAGATCACTTACTATCTGTGTGACCTTGGGCAAGTCACTCAATCTATCTAATTTATGGCCTTTTAGGTCCCTTCCAACTTTTGGTCTGTGTGGTTCTCTTATCTATGATTTCCTTGTCAGAGTTTTACTTTCTTTCTCTATAAAAATGAAGGTGCTTTGTACTGGTAACACAGATTTAGAGCAACAAGGTACCAAAAGCATCATCTAATTCAACCCATTCATTTTAGAGGCATGTGAAAATGACTCTCAAAGGGGTTAAGTGACTTGTCCAAAGTCATACCTGTATCAAGTCACAGTTGAACTCAACTCCTCAGACTCCAAAGCTTCCCACACACACACCCATCATATAGGATGGTACCCAAGGTCCCTTCTAGCTCTGAAATTCTACAGTTCTTTGGGACCTGAGAATTTGCACATCCCAAGGAGGTCCACCTCTTTTCACCTACAAGTAAACCCCAGATAATTAGGGTTTGGCTCCTGTGAAGTCATTACTGATTTTTCTCATTGTTAACACCTCTCTTTGTTTCCTAGGTGCCCCACCAGCCAGGTTAAGTTGTGAGTGAGAACATAAACATATTTTCTTTTTCCTGACTCTGCTCCCTAAAAATATCACAAGGCCTATCTTAGGTTTTTAGAGTTTATTTGAGAATAACAAGGAACCAAATTTAGCACTGCACTAAGACTTTGGAGACACAATATATGGGTTTTGGGGAGTGTGATTACTAGTTTACAGTGGTCTTGAGTAAATTTTGTCAACTGAAATTAGGCTTCCCTCTTCTTTGTTTCTTTTTCCTTTCTGACTCCCTGCCAGGTTTATCCTTGATAAGAGATCAAGATCTCTCTGCAATGAATTTGGTGTGACAAGGTCGGTGGTTTCTCTGTTTTCTAAAATCTGCTTCCCCAACTCTCTGATTTATGTATAGGTGTCTAAGACTTAAGGCAGATATTTCTGTCTTGTAATGCTCCCAGTTAAGCATCTTCTCATGGGTTGTGAGATCTACTAGCCATAGATTTAAAGAGGTTTTCTCTTTGGTCAGCTTACTTCCAGCAAGGAAGACTGCTCTATTTGTTCTCTTGAGCTATCTCCTGAAATCAGGCTCCTGTCTCCCCTTCCCTTCTTAAGGACATGTCCATACTCTCTGATCCCAGCAATCTTGATGCTCTTTCTGTCCTGCTTTTTATATCTCTGTCTTTGTCTTTCTTTGTTTCTTCTCTACATCTGTGTCTCTATCTCTATGTCTCTCTGTCTCTTTCTCTCTCACCTCTATCCATCCTCTCTATGCTTATTTGACAGCAAGCAAACTGAAGCAAACTCCCGTAGTCATATTATAGTAATTGGCTTTGCCTTTATGGTTACCTGACCACCTCTTCTTTTCCTGCCTCCTCCTCTTTCTCCTCCTCCTCTATCACCATCATCATTAACATGTCCACTTACTGCCCTAGACTAAAATAATCAGTATTAGATCCTGTGCTTCCCCTCCCTAAACCTATTATATGAGGTATAGAAAGAAAAAAGGTCATTATTGACTAGAGGCATCTAGGAAGGCATCCTGGAGGAGTTAGTGTATGAGCTAGGCTTTACAGAAGGAGTAGGAAATCAAAAGACAGAGAAGGTGACAGGAGGATATTTTAGCCATAGGGAATGTTTTAAGTGAGGAGGCAGCAAGCAACCAGATCACCTGTTTCCCCCCCTACTCTTATTATAAGTATAAGATGAAATTAATGGGGGAAGCAAACATATTTTGGGGGCTGCAAAACAAATGATCTCCTTCTCACCTAACCTGCACTATGACTCACTGGCTTTGCTCTTCAAGTAGGATAATGCTACACAAGAATTACATTGACTAGCCATTTCTTTCTCTGAGAGATTACTATATCAGAAGTATTTTCTCTTACTAAAAGATTTATTCTCCAAAACCCTTGGTCTTCTGAACCAGCTACCACAAATGAGAGGACCCCCCTGATGCCAAGACATCCCTCTAGCTCCAAAATGGAAGCACATGCAACTCTGCCATGTATATACATTGCAAGTCATCATGACCTGCTGCTGGGATGGGATGGAGAATGGTTAGCAAACTTTTACAGGCCACAGAACAAGACGTCTCCTCTAATATAAGTCTATCTATTCATTTTGGAAGTAGCACCCGTCAAAGGAGTATTTGTGTGTACATACACATGTGTGGTATGTCTTTTCTAAGCTGTATGCTAGTGGGCATGGCTGCTTCTGTGGGCAGATGCCCCTCAGATGAACATACCATGTGCTCTAGGTTGATTCTGGAGCTCATCAAATTGACCAGGGACTTTCCAGAGCAGTTCACTTTATATAAGCAAAGTCATAGAGGAGAGAAAGCACAAGGAATGTACAAGAGAGATACTATCTCTAGTTTGACTGAAGATAAGGGTACAATAAGGTGAGTAATACGAGATAAGGCTGGAAAACTAAGTACCTCCAAATGATGGGAGTCTTGAACAGCCAGCTTACTACAAATTATTCATGGCCTGCTTTTATTCAAAGCGATGGTTTCTTAGGTACTAGTTTGTAAGCAGAAACATTCTTAGGCAGAGAGTACACCTCCACAAAACATAAGCCCCTACCACAAGGCACCCCTAGACAACAGAGTTTAAAGCAACCAGTCAGTAATTTCAGTAAGCCCTATTACCCACGTAGGGCACTCCAGTGAGTGCTGTTCCTGTCCTGACTCCACCATATTCACTATCACACTCTATCTTGCAGAAAGGACGTGAGCTTTGACTACCTGCAGTGAAAGCACCATGCCACAGAATACATCCTATATCAAATGAAAATTGATATATTTTGGTCAGATTGTGGGAGAGAAAACCTAAATTATCGTCATCTTCCAAATACTGCCTTTGTAACAAGATAGAGATCTTAAACAAAGGGTGGGTGGTGTAACAAAATGCACACTGGTGTGGGAGGCAGATTAGAAAGGGAAGTCCTCTCTCTGAATAGGAGTGGAAAGGAAAGGAGGGTAGGGGGATGGATAGTGGGGTTGAAACAAAGATGCTAGAGAACACTGATTAAAAATTGATCAAAAAAAATCAAGCCAGAGGCCACCACCAGAATTTAATCATTAATGATGGGATGGACACAGGAGTGTGCTGAAACCAGCTCAAATCGGCTCTTGACAGCCAATTGTTAAATTTTCAGTGTGAGCATTTATACCTCAGAAATCAGTAAGTGCTACGAATTCAGGCTTCATTGATCATTTTGTTGATTGTCTAGACTTAGGAAGAGTGATGGAGAAAATGTTAATAATGCCGATTAAATTTAAAAGTGTGTTGTGGGTACTTTTCTTTTTCAGAGAGCTGACTGTTAAACATTTACCAACATACTCCTGGAAGGACAAATTAGACACCAAAAATTTATGCAAAAAAAAAAAAGGAAAAAAAAGAAAATGCTACAAATAGCAAAGTCACAGAAAATTATGGGTCAATTGAATAGTCACAAATTGAACATGCAGCTCTCTACCATCATTTGGTACCAACTGCCTCCTCTGTTAAAGTCTAAGCATTAGTCAATGATTGAAATAATCCCAGCAGCCAGGCACCTGCTCACCCCTATGGATTCCTAAGGCATGGGCTTAGAGTGGTTAGAATAAGTGGGTACTACCATTTTCTATAATCTATAAACAAAGAGCAAGTTAAGAATCGTAGAATGTTGTTAAAGCTGAGAGGGACCTAGAGCTTAGAAGATTATTGAGAGCCAAAAAGAAGTTCCTTAAAGGTCAGTGGTCTAACCCCTCACTTTAGAGATAAGCATTACCAAATGTGATTACTGCTATTTCTGTACACTAAAGATAATTATTCAAAATATATGTGTGTGAGAAAGATCTAAGAAGTGTGAGATCTGGGTGGAATTAGCGTAACAATAATCACAGAGGACCGGCTTAACACAAATAGGAGCAATAGACTCTAATCCCAGGACTTTTCTCAGCTTCCCAGGCCTCTTCTTACCCATTCAGGTCATTTTCAGAAGTGTGAATCATGGAATGGTGCCAGCTGCTGACACTTGGTTTTTTTATCATTCCGCACAGTTCCTTATGTCTCTCCCACCTGTTTACTTTCGTCACCTACAATCTGTCAAGATAAATGCTTTTACTGCTTTTTTTTGCCATTTCTTTGGTCTCCCCTAAAGTTTTCCTTACCATGGCACTAAGGTGACCCTGTATTCTGCCACAGGTGAACAAGTTCTGATCCAGCCTATTGCATTGAAGAAGATTTCATTGAAGTCTGAAGACAAATTGTATAATTGGCTTCCAAGGACCTATCTAGCTGGAGAGCAGCATGGTATGGTAGATGGGGCCCTGGACTAGGAGTTAGGAAGACTTGGGTTCAAATACCTTCTCAGATACATGTGTGTGACTCTAGGCAAAAAACGTTAACCTCTCTTTGCTTTGGTCATCTTACCTGTAAAATAAGGGTGGTAGACTCCAAATTCCCTTCTAGTTCTAAATCTACAAACCTATGATCACAAACCTGGCCCCCAGTGATAAATGCTTCTAACTATAGTTACTCATGAAACCAAATGTGTGAAGGATTGTGATTGGTATCGGCAGAAGGAGGATCCATTCTGATGGAATCAGATCTTTTCAAGTATCTGTAAAATGATAACCCCTAGGGAGGGTTAGAGGAAAATTTTGGTAAACCCACAATTCTATTCAAAGTGGTTACTCTCTTCACTGCCAAATATCACCACATTCCCCTCATGCAATGACTCTTCATCCTGTGCTACTCTTCTGTGACTCTCCATAGATCCTCCATAGAGCACACCAAAGGCCTTCTCACAGTATGTTAGGAGGACCAGTTCACTACACAGACTGGACATTAATTTCAGTCTTGGTCCTTAACCCGCCTATCTTCTTTTCTACTTCCACATGTCCTCAATAACATATTTTGCTCCAAATCTCCTATACCAGTAATTGTTTGCAATGTGCCACAACCTACTTAAACCCACAAACCATCCTTCCATTGATTTTTGGTTGTTGTTGTTGTTGGGTTTTTTTTGCTATTGATATTCTTCTAAAAGCACGGTATTCTATGATTTTCAAGGCATTTAGGGTTGCAATGGATAGATTGCTGGACCCAGAGTTCAAATCTAGCCTCAGACACTTTCCAGCTGTGTGATCTGGGGCAAGTCACTTAACTCCTGCCTGCTTCAGTTTTCTCATCTCTAAAATGGGGATACTAATAGCAACCTACAGAGTTGTTGTGAGGATCAAATTAGATCCCATATGTAAAGTGTTTTGCCAACCTTAAAGTGCTATGTACATGCTAGCTGTTATTCTGATTATTTTCAGTCATATAGCATCACTAGGAGAATATGGAAGCTAAAAAGATATTCTCTTACAACAGCCAGCAGATTGTGATCATTAAAAGAGCTGTGAAGTTTTCCAAATGTGACTCAGCCAGCTCTCTACTTTTTTCTCTCTTCTGGGCCCAGCTTATTGTCCATGGGCAGTATCAGTCTAAGAAACCTATGGTGCTTTTCCTTGATGGACTTGTCAGAAAACTAAGACTCTTTGCTTCCTTTCCAGCTTTATGTCATGGTCTGAGCAACACACACATTTCATTTACTTCATTTATTCAAGGTGGATGATTATGCTACTCTGTTTTTGCATTGCTTTTGCTTTCACTGAGGAGGCTTAGGGAAGAATGGTACAAAGCCACTTGTGAGAACGAGCATTTGGAGAACTTTGCACAGAACATCTTCCATGACGTGGGTGAATAACTTAGGTGAGTTCACATCTCCCTCAATGTTTATATTCATTGGATCATTGAATAAAGTCATCTCTTTAGTTGCATTTGGAGTCTTGCATGCTTTTGATATGCACATGAAAGCTATCTCGTCAGAGGAGAACTTTTAACCCTTCATTTTGTTTTATAGAGTCAAAAGTTTTGGGGTTCCCCCCAAATCAATAAAAAATAAACACAATGGTATCTGACACTTATTACACATCTTGGAAAGTTGACTGTCTATGAAGTTATAGTCTGTTGTAGAAAATCATCAATAAAAACCTGTTTTCTTATCACTTTTCATTGGTAATATTCATGGAACATGCATAGAGTACTCTAATGAAGATTGTGTAGAGTTGACAAAGGAAGCTTAAGTTAGTAGGCAAGGACTTTTGCTGATGCTTTCACAAGCAACGTGGTTTTTTTTTGGTAAAAAGCACAGCTCAGGATGTTTCCATTCTTTTGAATCTTGCCATTTTTGAGTTATCTTGAGAATCAAGTGACTTTACAAATGACTTTACAGTGACTTTAAGATATGGTATTTCCTTTAGCCTAGGTTTCTTTTATTTTTTAAAAAGTATTTTTCTATTTATTTACTGGTTATTGGTTCCAAATTCTCTCTTTCCTTCCACCTCCACTGATTGAGAAGGCAAAAAATATGATACCCATTACACATACAAAGTCATGCATTTCTGCATTAGCCATGTTTCAGAAAAGAAAAATAGCAAGAAAAATAAAGGTAAAAAATGTGCTTCATTCTATACCCAGAATCCATCAGTTCTTTATCTGGAAGCAGATAAAATTTTTCATTTTGAGTCTTTTGGAGCTATGGTGGATCATTAATCAGACTTACAAGTTTTTCACAGTTGATTTTCTTTATGATATTACTATGTAGATTACACTTTTGGTTCTGCTCACTTCACTTTACATCAGTTCATATAAGTCTTCCCAGGTTTTTCTGAAACTATCTCATTCATCATTTCCTATAGCACAATAATATTTGACCAGATTCCCATACCATAATTTGTTTATTCATTCCCTAATTAATGGGCATGCCTTCGGTTTCTAATTCTTTGCCACTACAAAAAGAGTAGCTGTAAATATTTTTGACTGGCCAGCCTAGATTTCATAAATGTCTGTATATATATATATATATATATATGTATATGTGTATATATATATATATATATATATATAGGTATATGTATATATATATATATATATAGGTATATGTATATACATACATACATACATACATAAATATATGTGTGTGTATATATATTATACACGCACACATACACACACACAAAGTTCTACCACCACTTAGCCCTGGGCACCCCATCCCCCACCCAGAAAACCTGCACCTAACTGCTTTGGGCCTAAGGATATTCTTCCTTAGAGTTTTGCAAATGAACTTGTACTTCCTACTATTGTTGGGTTTACTTTTCTTCATCTTTTCTTCAAAATTGGTGTTTATTTTGATCTTTTACTTTTATTTTAACCATGATGGGACCTATAAGTACTTGTACTCCGCTGGTATCTCCTTCAAGAACCCAGGGCCATATCCATACCTCAATGAGGAATCACAGGAGGAATTTAGTAGAGTGGGCAAAGATAAAAACTTAAAAAAAGACAATTATGACATCTGAAGGCCATTAACATAGCCATAGACTATTATAAGTAGATTCTACAGTGCCCATAAAATTCTCATGGCTCCCAGATGCAGCATAATTGATTGTAAAGAACCGTGGCCTGGAAATCAACAACCTGGATTGGGCGAAAGTCTTGGCTTTATCACTAATCAGTGGTGAGATTAGCCATATTATTTCATCTTTCTTTACCTTGATTTCCTCATCTATAAAATGAAAATAGTCATCTTATGTTCCATTCCAACATTAATGTTCCACAGTATTGGAAACATTAAACTTTCTGTTATATGACTGTCACATATGTCACAGCTGAAAACAAAAGATGGAACATTACCTAGAAAGAGTCAGTAAGATGTATTTTGGAAAGTGATGTAAGTCCCTTCTAATGTTCCAAGACACCACTGTATTTTTCTATCTGGGTTCCAGAGATCATTCTGATGTTGCTCCAAAGCCTCATATTTGCCTAAAGAAACTTATTCCTGATCCAAGATATGCCACCTAAGCAGTTCTGTTCCTAGAATCCTGAAGAGGGGTTGACGGTCTTTTCCAAGAGGAAGAGGAGGTACATTTACGTGGCTGGGCATGCAGAGAGAGAATGAATGGGCTCCTTGAATAAGTGGGAATGGGTGACTAAATAGTGTTCAGCCAAAGGCTTGCAGATCTAGGAAGGTCAAACCCACACTGCATATTTAATGCAGTTCATAAATATTTCTTAAGGACCTAGTATGTGAAAGCTATAGTTCTAGATGCTAGAAATATAAAGGGGAAAAAAAATGACAGTCCAAGTCTCTAAAAGACTTGTTTGCATTCTATTATAAGGAAAGGTGGGACCAGGGGTATATGACGTGTGCAAAAATAAGGTAAATAGTCATGGAGGCAAAGTAGAGATCCAGATAAAGTGTCCAGGAGAATTTGAGGAGGAAGAGAATCTCAGCTGAAGGTAAATCAGGAAAACTTCATAGAAGAACAACCCAATCTGAGCCTAGAAGGATGCTGAGATATGGAGGAAGAAGTATAGCCAACTGTGACATGGGGATCTGGCCAAGGTCCCACAGGTGGATAGGACAGTCCACTAGGAATCAGGAAGATGTGAGTTAAAATCTCACTTCGGACATTTACCAGTCGTGTTACTGTGGACAAATCGCTTAACCTCTTCAGGCCTCAGATTCCTGATCTGTAAAGAAGGGGGTTGGAATCCACGGCCTCAAAGGTCCCTTTCATCTTTCTGTTTCTATATTCTAGATCCAAATGCAGGGCTCTTTTTACTACTTCATGTGGCCTATCAAATTCCTACTGGTAAACCTCAATATCCAATTTGATTCAAGGAACAATTGGTGATTCAAGGAATGATTTCTGCATTAGCCATGTTCCAGGAAAGAAAAATAGCAAGAAAAATAGGTCCTCAATATCCAATTTCCTAACCACCCAGGTTAGGTACTGGAGATAAAAAATTATTAAGATAAGATCCCTGCTCTCAAGCGCCTTATAGTCTAGTAGGAGAGATAAGATGGATACAAATAACTGCAATGCAAGAGAGAATGTGAGTATTCATGAGAGGCACAAAGCAGACAAAATTTTTATTGCTCTTAAAAGTTTGCAAAGCACATATATTTCTCACATTTCACCCTCAAGTACTTAAATGGAATGGTGATCTCGTTGATTTGTATATCACCATGCATAACCTATTCATGCCTGTTAGTCCTGTGACCACCCCAGAGTTTATTACAGGATGCTCACCCAACATGCTTCAGGTTTTTCTTACTTTCTCTAGATACCACAAAGAAACCAATGGAGCATATGAGCTATGCAGTGATTTTTCCCTTGTTCTTGCCTCATGACCAGCCCATCTTCTCTTTTTCACTCATATACTTCTTTGATGGCATCCTTTATTCCATTTCTCTTTTGGAACACAAGAGGTAGATACCACAGGTACTATCAATCCCATTCTACATTTGGGGAAATGGAGGCTCAGAGAGTTTAAGTGATTTGCTCATAGTCACACAACTAGGAAGTGTCAGAAGATGAATTCTAGATCAGCTCTTCATGACTCCAAGTCCAGCAGTTTTTCTACTTTGCTATTATGGCTGTCTCAGCTTTGGAATAATTCACTAGAGGGAAGAATCATTTCTTCCTGGAGGGACGAGGGAAGATTATATGAACATACTACAGAAAGTATTAAAATGGATGATAAGTTTCATATTTTTGACATTTGATGTATACTTTCTCTGAAGCAAAGCAAGTAAAAACTATTTTTAAAATGAATTAATTGTGAGGCAGGGCTTTGCCTGTAATTTATTTGACAAGCGCTATGACTGCCCAGGGATGGATGTCAGCCGGATTATGCTAAAGGAACATCTCATAGAAACACTGCTGCTCCTCCCTGCCCCTCTGCTCTTCTGCTCTCCTTTCCCCTCTCTACAATTATTTGACTGTGCTCATCCATTTATGTTTTTAAAAAGAAATCACCTGTCATGTATCATTTGGATACTGGATACAAGAGTGTCAACAACTCTGAAGACAAGTTCCAAAAAGCCTGGAGGTCAAGAAAGGCTGGAGGAAGATGAAAGAAAAAAAGAGCTCAAGGTAGTGTTCAAAAGAAACAGGCCAGGTGCTATGAAGGCATCCATTCTGAGCACCTGAAGTAATAAAAGCAGAGTTGCGGCCACATGTCAGTAACCTGGTGAGGGTCTTCTCTTGCCCCGCAGCTCTACCGCAGTGGACTACCCTACATCAGAGAATTCTTCTAGGTCTGTTTCAGATCCTCCCTAGAGAGCTAAACACTCTTAAGAGGTTTTGTTATTTGCTGTGAGCTCAGAACCTGCAACCCAATTAAAGCAGGCCCTCAATCCATTTCATTGTACTAATTCAAATTTGACAAGCAGGTTTCTTAGTTCTAGGGGAAGAAAATGTATGGAAAGTTATTGTTGATACCAGAAGCCTCCCCTATGTTTTCTCTGGACCTGCTGAGTCTATTCCTGTCCTTTTCCTGTGAATCTTGTGTATGAATGTGTACATACATGTACGTGCGTATATTTGTGGGAAGGGGCATGGAGTGTTAGAAGGTAACGGTAGAATGGAGGGAGAGAATTTTTTGGAGTAGAAGGTCAGAATCTCAGGAACCCTCAAATCATAAAACTCATAAAACAAAGAGTCTGAGTTCACCTTGGGGGAATTCCTCACTGCATCTAGCCCTTACCCAGAAAATCTGGGGGAATGTATTTATGGTATCCGTTCAGTCTACTGAAACTGATTCTCCCTTCATGAACATACAGTTCATGGTATTAAAGAAAATGGAACACTACATTGGCAGACTAAAGGGGCAAAACAGGACACAAAGTAGAATTCTTGGAAGCCAAACAGAAGTCATTGAATAAGCAACCAACTGTCAAAAATATATTGGAAATTTGCAGTGGCTCACAGTCCCAAATGTTGCAGGTCCTCACTGCTCCCCCATAAGTGAGGCAAACAGGAACAGATCTCAGCCAAGCTCTTCCTGCAATTTCTCCTAGCATCCATCAGGGGTCTCCAGTTCCCTCTCTTTCACTAATCCCCCCTAGCCTTCCCATCATCTTCCTTTCTTGATATCTTGACATCTTGATAGCCTTATCCTTATGACACATTGTAGGGTGGGAAGTGGGGAAGGGGAAGAGGCACTTCCACCTGAGAGAACATTCTATTTGTTCAGGAGCTGACAAAGCACCCCCAATTTCTCCCTCATTATCCCTCTTTAATTATAGATGAATTTCTCAAGTAATTCGGTGGCATTATTCAAATTTCCCAAGGCTGTCAGTAATGTCTACAACTTGCCAAGCCTGCTTAAGGTGTATGTGTGTGTTGGAGGGCTGGGAAGAGGGGAAGGTGGCTAAAGCAGAGAAAAGGAGGAGAGGACTGGGTTAATTATGCCTTCAGGCACAAAAACCCTTAATTATGGGAGAGAGAAGGAGGGGAAAGTCTCACCAATGTCTATAGCTAGAAAAGACCTTAAAAGTCATCTAGTTACAAATATGAAGACTACCTACTTGTGTCATCTAAGCCAGATACGGCTAAGACTCTGCCACACTTTTTCTGTCATCGGACACAGTCTTCACTTACCTGGGGAAGCCCTGCCAGAGTTTCTCTTGTCTACCAGGAACCTTAGCTCTTTCTGTATCTCTGTTCTAGTTATACAGTACCAGGACAATAATAATTAATAGCAATAGCAATAGCTAGCATTTATGTAGCACTTTAAGGTTTACAAAGCACTTTACATATGTTATCTCATTTGAGCCACACTGTGGGGTAGATGCTATTATTTTAATTATTTTATCCCACTTCACAAAAGAGGAAACTAAGGCAGGCCAGAGGTTACGTGATTTATCTATGGTCACACAGCACCTAATAAGTGCCTGAGGCAGTATTTGAATCCAGATGTTCCTGACTCCAGACCCAATACTGTATTTATTGTGTCACCCTGCTGCTTCTAATACCACCTGACTTCAATGAGAATATTAGATTTGCCACCATTCCTGCTGAGCTCAGGCAACTCACCCTAAAAGCTTGCATAGACAGCAAGATCCCTCTTATTCCAACTTCAAAAGGGCCCTTGTCAGCAATTCCCAGATTCAGATATGGTTTCCACACATCTTGATAGACTTATCCTTACCACATACTATGGGGTGGGGGAGGGGAAGAGGCATTTCCACCTGAGAGAATGTTCTATTTGCTCAGGAGCTGACAAAGCACCCCCAATTTCTTCCTAATTATCTCTCTTAATTATAGCTGAATCTCTCAAGTAACTAGGTGGCATTATTCAAATTTCCCAAGGCTGTCAGCAATGTCTACACCTTGCCAGGCCTGCCTAAGGTGTATGTGTGTGTTGGAGGCTGAGGGGAGGGAAGGGAAGGTGGTGATAGCGGAGAAAAGTAGGAGAGAACTGGGTTTATCCAAGTCTTCAGGCACATATCCACATACCTCATTAGTGTCTCAGGAAGAATTTGAACCCAGGTCACCTAATCTCTAAGACCAACACTCCCACCTCTTCTCTGAGATCATCATTGAGAGTGCTATACAGCAAATATTCTTGACTCCCACCTTTTCCTTCTATTGTTACCAACCCCACCACACACACATTCTGGGAATCTGCTTTTCCTCCTTCTTTCTACCTATCCCACTTACACAACCTATTCTTCATGAACCAGCTCACAGCCCACATCTTCCATAAAGTCTGCTCTCTTTGGCCACCCTCTTCCCATTCCTTCTACCCCACTCTGAACTCTTAGAGTATTTATTTTTAGCTTTTAACCACCACTGCCTTGCAACATGATTTAACTTTCATCTCATCATCATTAAAATCTAATCTCTTTGCCATTAAATCAATTAAATCACAAAAAAACCCCTCAAATATTCCATGGATCTGTGATCCTTTCAATAATTCAAATCGCACATCATCCATGCCTGCCCATCTTGGGTGACTCCCATCAGTTATACCCCATAAGTTCACTATTTAATGTACACATTCTCTTGACATCGCAAGTATACTCATGGAACATACGAGCTGCCCACTAGCTATTACCTACTCTCACCATAGGGTCAGCCCATCTTCTTTTTTGATAATACTTTTTAAAATAACATTCCTGCCCATACTTCCCATGGATAATTCCTGGTTTATAATGTGTGACAACCTGCCTGTGCCCTGCCAAGCAACTCCATTCAAAAACATTGTCTAAATTTGATTTAAAATATTCAGTCAATCAGTCAATGACATTTATTAAGCAACTACTACGTCCCAGGCACTGTGTGCCCAGTGCTGCGATACAGAGAAAGACAAAGGACAACACCTGCCCCAGAGGAGCTCACAATCTAAGAGATACATAGAGTTCAAGCAACTATGCAAGTTTTTTTTTCTTTTAAAACCTCATTTAATTTTCTTCCAAAATTAACAAATGAAGTTTCAATCATTTGTCTATGACCCCTATGAAATGAGGCATCTTTCAGGACTTTGACTGCACATCTATTTTAAAGTAGTGAAGGCTCAGGAACCAAAAGTATTTTAAAAAAAAAAGGTGGGGATAGTGTTTGCTGTTTTCTAAATGTGAAGACTCTTCAGGGCCTGAACCTTGGAACCTTGTTAAGACTTTAGGGATTTTTCTTTCTGCCTGCAATTTAGACCAGTTATCTTTAGGAGGTGCTGTTATCTTGCTGGGGTGCAAACACATGCAAGTCAAGTACTTTTAGGATGGAACAGAAGAAACTCCAGAGGTTCACCCTGTCAAAAACTGAACATTTTATTAGAAATCGGGTCTCTATTACAGGTAGAATAAGATACCAGAAATATGCTTTTGGACAGGACTGAAAATAACTAAAAACCTGAACACAGAGTACCCTATGGGCTTTAACACTATTTCCTAGACTGTTATTTCGTTATCAGACAAGTTGCAATTTACTGATAAATCTCATTGAATTGTCCCTTTCTTTTTATCCATTGTTATCTGTCTTAAGCTACAATTGGAAGGCTTCCTGTCTGCAGTCTTGGAAGCTGTTCTCTCTCTGGCACACTCCAGGAGTTATTTATTACCTAGGTTACTACACACTGGCCTGGGTGCTCAGGGGCTTGGAACACTAAGTAAGCAGGAAAATGGCTGGAAACAGAAATCTATCAATTAGCTTAACTGCTGTATTTTTTTCAGTCTCTCTCTCTTCTGTCCCCATCTCTCATTGTCTTTGTCTTCACCCTGCCTCTCCCCCTTCCTCTGTTTCTCTCCCCTCTCTTTCTGTCTCCCTGTCTGTCTCTCCCCCTTCCTCTGTCTGTCTCTCTCCCCCTCTTTGTCTCCCTCTCTCTGGCTCTCGCCTCTCCTTCCATCTGTCTCTCTCTCTCGTCCCTCTTTTCACCCCACTCTCTCTCCTTCCTCTCCCTCTGTCTCCCTCCTCCGTCTGTTATTTCTCTCTGCCTCTGTCTCTCTCTTCTCTGTTTCTATCTTTCTTCACCCCAATATCAGAAGTAGGAGGGACTTCAGAGATTTCCTAGACCATTGCCCCGTAAAGACTAACTCTCTGGATGACGTCCTTGGTCATCCAGGCTCCATTTGAAGACTGTTAGTGATTTAGGATCTAGTAATCATAGATTTAAGCATAGAAGAGATCTTCATTGAAACCAACCCTCTTATTTTATGTGACAAAACTGAGGCACAAAGAAATCAAGTAACTTGCCCAACATCACAGTAAGTATCTGAGGCGATATTTGAACCCAGGTCATTTTGGCTCCAAGACCAGTTTCCTACCCACTATTCCATGCTGAGCACAAACTAACAATTTTGCACAGCTCTAAATATTAAATATTGAGCTAGAATATATCTCCCTACAGCTTCTACCTACTACTTCTGATCTTAACCTCTAGGCCCAAATGGAACAAATATAATCCTCCTTCACAACAGATTGTCAAAAACTTGAAGACAATTATTATGCTGTCAGACTACAGATGCCCAGTTTTTTTTTTCCAGCTGATCTTCCCAGGGCATGGTTTTTAATTCTCTTCATAACCCTAGCTACTCTCTTATGAACTTAGCTGATCAATGTCCTTCCTAAAATGTACCTAGAACAACATCACA